TTCAAAGCAACATGTATGTTGCCCACTAAACCAACTAACTCTAGTTGATCTAGACTTCAAAAACCCCACAAGGCTAACTCTAGCCACCAACTCTGAATCAATGTTGAAGACACGAACTGATATGATTCCTTTATAACACAGGAATAGATCTACAAGAATAAGCACAAAAATATAAACCTACAACAACTAAGAACAATGACAACCCTATCAGGTCCCTTGTTGTTCTTGAGGAGAATATTTCTAGAGAGAATGGCTTTTTCTCTTTACAAACTTTCAGGATGCCAAAAACTAAGGTTGTGTCCATTGATATGGAGCTTATATATGATGGACACAAAATCCTAGAAGTAATGGTATTGACCAACGACCCTGCCACATTGCACCAGACGCGCACCACCTCCTACAGATGGCAGAGTGTGCAAAGTACTTTTTCCAACTATCCTTTTTCGTACAAGAGCACCATTCTCACATGAGATCAAGTCCCCTATCATATCCCAACGATAAGAGCATAAACAAGTAGCACCTCTGTTGCACCACACATCAACTAACTCTAGTTGACACTCCTAGGCAACTCTACCCAAGAAAACATCAAAACAATGAGGTAAAGAGGCTTGACTAAAACATAGATAATTCGACTAACTAACTCTAGTTAATACAACTCAAACTAAGGACTTAGACAAGCAAATGATCTACTATCATTAATAACTTAGGAGTAGATTTACAATGTAAGCACATTAGACACAAAGCTCAAACTACAACAAAGACTCTTCAGCACTCTATCAGGTCCCTTGTTGAGTATGAGCAATGTTCTTCTTTGAAGATGGCCTTCTCTTTGTAAGCTTATGAATTTTCAGAAATTCAAGACTTTGTTTGCCAAATCTTGATTTGTGTCTTGTGAAAAGAGACTATATCAAATGGACACAAACCTTTAGGGACGACGCCATTGGCTGAGAGCCTGCTTATCTGAAAAGTTGTGCACCAACCATGTCACATGTGACAGCTTTTAGACAGTTGTACACCATTTCGAATCTGGACGAGAGCACTCTGCCGAGCCTGATTCTCTATGGCATGGACGTCTTTGATTGGATGGAGACAGATATATAGAAATTGTGCAGTGAGGGTGCTTGTAAATCACTAGGTAGCCTAGCTCAACCCAAGCAATGCCCAAAAGTCCCATGCCTTTATTGGTCGGACCAACCCAATCGGCGATTTCCGACAAGTCTTTCTGAATTAGAAGAGCAAGAAGCAGAACTAGAGGGACCGAGTCCCTGCATTTGTGAGGATCATCAAAACACCTAGAATTCAACAAAATGCATATATATTTACAAGTCCGGTAGAATATATTGTTGATTTTGATGGCGAAGACAAGAAAAGAGTGGAGAGAGCATTAAGAATAGCCATTATCAACCAACTACGTATAGACATGAAGTAGGAAAGAGAGAAAATTGAATGATTAAATTAAGGTTAATCAATTGTTCATCAAGATAATTACTAATAGAAACCAAAAAAATTGAATGGCAAAGCAACAGTAAGTCACCTCCAAATGCTTGTAACCGCACCTCCTCTAATGCTATTCCTGTATCAAGAAAATGGAACATAGAATATCATTTTCTTCCGTTTGAATCAATATCTCATTCCAAATCCTTCCTAATAACTCCCAAAGCTAGTGTAGAACAATGGATTACTAGACCATCAACATCAAATATCTTGTAGAAATTAGAGTTTATGTATTTCATAAAATTTATTATCTCAATTACATCAGAAAATGACTTTGTAAATTTTACTATGACTCTCGCTGGTCGTTTTCGGATTTCACTATTAACAAGTATATCTTCAACTTTTTGTACTAATTTCACCTAGCATAAGCTACTTGTTGTTAATGGATCGGTAAGGGTATTGTTCTGTTTGATAACTATTCTATTGATTTTTTTAATATATGAGCTTATTAGTCCCCCCCTCCCCTCCCATTTATCTGAATGATCGGTCTCAATTCATGAGGAAAAACAGGTAATAGACACAAAATCATCCATTCTGGCTCTATATTTATTAAATAAAATGCTTAATCAATTCCACTATCCAAATAGATTTTCGATCTTTCCATTCATTCCTTGTGCACCCTTCTTCCATCAATTCTTTCTATTCTACTAACGAATTTTCATTCACAAGTATTAGAACAATTGAAGAATTTGTGTGTACATTGACTTGATAGGAGCAATTATGTTATGATCCTATTGCAAAAAAACTTCCACATCGATTGAATGGGGAATTCATGTGGGGCTTCTATAACATGAGAAATATTATTAGGAGATTAGTACTATTTAATTGCATTTATAAAAGAGGGCATGAAAGGCACAATTGGGCAAAAGATTTTGTTGAGCTTGAAAAACATTGCTTAAGATTAGTACACCTATTGATTATTTATGAAGGTTTAAGCTAGATTTAACCATTTAAATTTATCACATATTAGTGCCAATAGCATTTTCTTCATAACTTTTTAACTCCAATAACTTATATGGTATGTTTAAGACCATAAAATTCAATGATATTAGATATATTATACACATTTTTACCAAAATTTTCATTACTTTTAAAATTTTCATGTCCGATTTAATTAAAATACCTAAAATAAATGATAGAGTAACATGATATTTTAAGAAATAGAAAAACAAACCGTAAAAATTTAATATTATTGCTTTCTTTCAGATATAATTGTAACAACCATTTAATCTCCTCACAGAAATCATCACAAGATTTCATCAAATTCAACAACACCCTTTAAAATTACACGAATTTAAAATTACACGAATTAATATCCCAATAAATCCAATCTCATCACCAACGCTCAATCCACAATTTGTGAACAAATCCGCACAAACAAGTGCATAGTCCTCACTTGGCATCGTCATCTTGACATAAGCGTTTTCATCATTTCTAGGATTGCTCGCTTTGGTAACATCCCATAACTCAACATGTTGCATGTTCCCCTCCCCTTTTGTTATAAATTCGACCATGCCTTTCCTCCAGTATGAAAAAAACATGTTCAAAAATGATTGCAAATGGCAGCACCACTATCACGGTGACTTGCTCAAAGTGTGTGATGACCTTCTTGATTTTCCATGATGTGTTTGATAAATGTTTACAATGTTGAAAAAAAGGGTAGAGATTTATAGGAATGCTTTGATATAAAAATTAGAAGGTAAATGACACTATAATTATTTTTCTAATAAAGATTGATTTCACATAATTAAGACAGATTATTATGATTAATCATATTTTAATTTTTTTCTCGTCCTTTCCTACTATAACTTGATTTGATGAATCTTGCATACAAGCAAGTTATTTAAATGTAATTACGAGTAATTTTATTTAATAATTTTATAATACAATATTAAATTATTTATAATAAATCAAATTACAATAATGACTAATTATACTTGATGCGTATCATATATACAAGTAGGTAATTCTATTTAATAATAGTATTTTTTACTCTTAGCGTACTTTTTATTAATAATAAGGAAAACGTTCAAATATGTTCAAACTATTAGAAATAACTCATTTATGTCGTCAATTAAAAAGTTTGGCTCATTTATGCCGTCGTCATTATAAAACATGTTCATTTATGTCATTATTTTTTAACAATGATTTTGTAGAAACAACTTTGCCACATAGCCTCTTGTAAGAGGTCCACGTCACCAAATTGGACCCACTAAAAATCGAAATCTTACTCTACCCATTTCTCCAACTTGGACTACACTTGATTCATTGAATATAGACCGAATTCCCAGCCATCTGGACGTAAGGTAACTGTGGTGGGAGAGTGTAAATCTTCCTCCATTATCCAATAAAGGGAACAAGTACACGTAAGGGAGTTCGATGGCATATTTGAGTCAATCTTATATTATTAATAATATAAAAATCTAAAAAAAAATAAGTACACATAAGGCAGTTGATCTTACCTTACAAAACTTAATAAGTTCAAACAATTCTACTACTACAAACAAGCATGTAACAAGTAAAAACTTGGGCTAATCAAGTACTCTATGATCAACACAATATTTATAACACACGCTTTGATGATATTACAAATGCGCGCGGATACTAATAAAATGATAAATTAAACAAGAAAGAAAGCAGAAGGGAGCCCCCTCTTTTTTGTAATTGTGACAAACTTAAATAAGCCTTATATAAATTTGGTTTTTCTCCTTGTTTCATTCCTCCAACAAGTTCAAGAGTTATTGAAAAAATATCAATTCTTCTTAGATCTGTTAAACCTTGTCACTTTCTGCTTTGCCCACTCTTATTGATACTCCCTCCATCCCATTTTATGTGGCACTATTTAGCCTGTCACGGTGTTTAAGAAAAAAAGAAAGACTTTTGAAACTTGTGGTCTAAAACAATTCTTAGATATTTGTGTGATTGTAAACCATTTTATTGAGGATAAAAGAGGAATTTTGAAGTTAAATTGTTTCTAGTTATAGCAAGGTGACATTCTTTTTGGGACGGATTAAAAAGGCAAGGATATCACCACATCAAATGGGACGGAGGGAGTAGTTATTTATTTTGGGACAAATTCCTTAGATACTTTATCGTTCCATCTATGATTAGTTTTGTATTTATTCTTTCACTTTCCACTTCTTTGTATAGTTTAGAAGAGTTGTCATCATCTCTAGCAGTATTAGAAAAATAACTATCCAACAATTCATCCTCTTCGCATTCTTTAAAAGAATCCACATCTTATAGAATATGTGGAGAAAAATAACAACTTTCAATCATTAATTTAAAAAGTTAAAAGGTGTTCAAATGATCACTAATGAAAACTTAAAAGGGGCTATTTGTATATTTGTCTTTGAATTTTTCTATAAGTTCTTCAAGTCCTTAAATTCATTAAAAATTTGTTGTGATATTTTCTCTCTGAGATGAACTTTTATGTAAATTATTACTTCATATATATTACTCTACTAGTATTGATATAATAAGAAAATAAAGTCAAATATGGATATATAAAATAAGATGATCAATAAAGTACATGAGATTAAGTTCTCTAAATTAACATTAAAAGAACTCCAAAATAAATCAACAAGGCCATAGAAAGATGGCCAGTTTCTAAGTTGGACGACTGGTATTCTCTTATTTTGAGAATTTTAAAAGATCATGATCAAAGGTATGGTGATGAAATATTGGATATTTTTGTGAGCTTGTAGGGTTAACCAAATCTGTTGTAGCTGCCTGAGACTGTAGCGCAACGCCTTGATTTGAAGAAGCAAGAAGTTTATCCAAGAAAGACCAATCACCACTAAATTTATCGTGTTGTTGAGAGAAATTAAAATTAGGTCCTGACGTTGATGTTAGTCTCAATAAGTTGTGATTATGATGAGTAGTACTACATTCGATGTGATTACTCAACGGAGAGATGAGTGATGGACATGGAAGTGTCAAGTCAGGACTAAGCAATTGAGGTAGATGCATTGAACCATCAAAGGATGATTGATAGTTGTCGTAGCAGGAGGCTGCGGTTTGAATATTTTGTTTTGAACTTCCTGCTTTCATATGATCTGTAAAAGGTAATTGTTCCTCGTGATCTTGATCTCCAATATCATGTTGGAAACCTCTTGTGTAGTTCTTTTTCTTGAATACCCTACAAACAACCCAACCTTCTTCCTGCAATGGCTTCAACAATCAAAAGAAATTTAGTACTACTCTTTCTGTCTCTCCATTTATATGATGTAGTTTGACTATTTATATAATATTATTACTCTATATATATAAATCTTTAATACTTCAGTTTATACTCCATCCGTTCCTATTTTTATGTCGTCCTTACTAAAAACTGATGTTTTTTAATATTTTATTCATTGCGAAGTTATCAATAGGTTGGGTTCTATACCTAACCCCCCACCAATATGTGGTTTGGGGGGGGATCATGAATGACAGTATTCTTGCTATTTTACCTTATGAGTTATTAGCCTTGAAAACATATATTTGACCAATATAGAAAAACTAAGTAAATACTTTATGTACATTAGTCAAATTAATTAATTAAAATAAATTAATTCATGTTCATTGATTGAAAACTTGACTTCAAAAAAACATTAAAGATAGATAGTATAGTAAAATTGCTTAATGCACATAAATCTAAAATTGTGACATATAAATAGAAACGGAGAGAGTATGATGTAGTTTGACTAGACACAAAATTTAAAGAAACAAAAAAAAAACTTCTCAATCTTGTGTTCTTACAGTTATAAAAGTTTCTCACTAAGGATAAAGTGAAATGACGTTTAAAATATAAATATGTATCCATTTTTTTAACGAATTAATAAGAAAATAGTGTTACATAAACTCGAATTGAAAATTAGTTATTACCTCTACTTCAGCATTGTTGTCATCAAGTCGATATTCATGCATGATCCAATCAGTTTTTTGGCCATGAGGGGCACGTCCTGTGTAAAATACAAGAGTTTTCCTCATCCCAATTCTTTTGGAGTTGCTAAGGTATATTGCTTTATCTCTCCCTGTAGCCTTCCAAAATCCAGCTGTCGTTGCACGATTCGTTCGAGTTCCAGTAGGGTATTTCTTGTCCTTGTGACTGAAAAAATACCATTCATTCTGTGGACCTGATCCAATTCTACATATTTCTGCATTTCATCAAGTGTATACAAGTTATATTTTTAGCTTATGGTTCACTTACATATTTATATTTTTTACTTTCATAATGTCAAATACTTTTTCTGTCTCTGATTTCGAGCGTCAAACAATTTAATGACCCTGAATTTAGGCATGGAATCCTTAAGTTTTTTGAAATAAAATTTACATAATTGAAAATTACGTAAAAAGTATTATAAGCGACATACAATAATTAACAATTCTAGATATTTAAAAATATACGAAAAATTTACAGTCGAAAAAAATTTGTTTGAATCTTGAAAAATGAAAGGTGCTACATAAATTGAGACGGAAGGAGTAATAAATGAACAAAAGAAGGCAAGTTACGTAACCTTCCACGGTAGGTTACATTTCATAGCTTGTGTAAAAATTCATTTAGGCATCAGAAAGTGGACGTAACCCTAAATCCATTGTGGTTTAGTATAATTTCCCTATAAAATTATACTAATTATTAATGTCATAATATGGTTTTGTTCTTTAATTTATCAATCTTTAGAAAAAACAAGTGATTAGATCATCTTTATAATCAAATCCTCTTTATACTCATAAATCTACCAAGTTCTTTGTTGATTGACTTGATCTACCCGAGTCAGCTAAGGTAAGGAAAGACCCTGACAATCTAGGTCACGAATCTTCTTTTTTGGGGAATCGACATCATCTAAATAAATAAGTTTCCTATAAAAGGAGTTTAATTTATTCTTTTGCATTTTTAGGTCATGAAAGAAGAAAGTTAATTGCATGCATGAACAAAACAATTTTATCATACCTTTAAGATCCCATGGTTCAAGTTTGTTAAGATCCACTTCTCTAATAACATCCAAATCTATTGCTTCATACGATACTTTCTTCCTCAGATAATAATAAAGAAGCTCTTCGTCCGTTGGATGAAAACGAAACCCTGGAGGAACTGAAAGGTGCCCGTTTGCTGATCCAGACATCATCGTGTATATTTTTTCTATATTGCAATCGTTAAAACACAAGTTATTACGCAAAATTTCAACAAAGGAAGAAGAAGTTGTGCTTATAGTGGAAATTATGATGTTAAGAGGAAGCAAGATATAGGGAAAAAAAGTAGTAAATATTATGTTATAAATGTCAACAAAAAAATGTGATGTGATGTTATGTTATGTGTGAATTATGGTATGGAAATGAAATAAAAGGAAGAAATTATTACCAGACTTTGGAAAATGTCGTTGAATGGGAAACCTTATTCCAGATATAAGTGATGAAAATCTGCTTCAACTAATGTAAATATATTTATTTATATATATTTGTGTTATTATTATCTCAATATGTATCCAGCTTTTTTAGCCATGTACACAGTCAAAGTCAAACACCAATAAAACTTATTTTTACATATTACAGTTAATTCCCCTTTTTCTTTTAATCATAGTCCTTAGTTTTCCCACTTGACATTTTCCTCAATTTATTTGAGATGTTGGCATTATTTTATTTTTAAAAAAAAATTCATCTGGTGTTTAGAGTCCACATTGAAACTCCAATTAAATTTAAATCACGCACTTCAGAATCTATTCGCGAATGATACTCCCAACAGAATTTTTTCCATACCAGATGTTGGCATTAAGTATTTGAGTTAGGAATGAAAACCTTCTAAACTTTATTACACAATAATGGACAGGTTATCCATCGTATACGTTGTTAGCTTAATTGGTCCATCTGCGCATGGTTATATATTATATTCATCATTCCGTCTTAATTTATGTGATAACTTCGATTTGATACATAGTATATTAAAGAAAGAAGAATCTTGAAATTTATATTATAAAATAAATATTGAATATTATTTGTGTGATTGTAAATCATTTCACGAAGAGTTAAAAGAGAATTCTAGAATTATTCGCTCAGTCACATATTACTTGTCCACTTTTCTTTTTATACGCCTCTTAAAAACTTATAAATAAAAAAATTATTTTTACTAATTTATCATTCAACTCTTTTTAATACACTTTATTTATTTGGCTTATCCATCAATACCAAAATTAAGAATGGAGGAACTTTTTTAAAAATTACAATGTATATACTTTCAAGAAGAGTTCATTTAAGGGAAAATGAAAAAATTAATTAATTTTTTTAATTGACAAGTAATTTGGGAGAAATATTTATTATTGATTTTACTCTTATTTATGTCTAAGATATATTTTTTTCTGCATTAAATATTATAATATTGAAGTATTTGTAGTTTTAAAGAACAATACTACTAAAGATAAAATGAGAAAAAATGTATTCCCTCCGTTCAATAATAGTTGTCCACTATATTTTTTGGGATGTCTAACAATATTTGTCCACTTTATAAAATCAATGGATAATTTTACATGACTTAATTCCTAATTTACCCTTATTATTAATTATAGTCATTTCTCTATTACATTTTTTAAGACATTGTATTTATTATATTCAAAGAATTATAATAAAATTACCCTTCTATTTATAGTTATCTAATAAATATGTAAAGTCTATAACAGACAAGTATTGTTTTTTTCTTTAATTGGACAAGTATTATTGGACAGAGGAAGTAACTAGTTTTGTCTTGAACTTCTAAATAACAAATAATTTGAGACCGTTATATTTTAAAATCACGATAAATAATTGGCGCAATTAATCAAGTGAAATTACTTCACCAACTTACGATATCATGAATTTAAAAAAGATTAAGTAATAATAAATGGATTGTTCATGCATAAAATATCTAAAGAAAGGGAATAAAATTGATAGAATAATTAGTGCCAAATTAAGGGTCAAAAAGTTGGGAACTTAATTTGAGGTATGTTTAGTTGATTAATTAATTAATTAGAGGCATTGAAATACACGTGAGCGCTGAATGAAAAAGAAAGCAATATCCTCAAAGTCCGCAGATCCAACAAAAAATACACAAACCAACGTATTCATTTTAATTAAAATAATCAATTTATAGAGCTGGATGTTTTTATATTTTTTTCTCATCTCAACAATTAATTTAGACAGAAAGGGATTCATACGCTATCTATTTGGCTTATTGCCTTCCACTCTGTCAAGATAAATTAAAAGGAGTCCAACTTTTGTGTTTTATATTATCTGGTTAATTCATTGAATATTTTACACAAATTTCATAATGTTAAGAGTTAATATCATCTTATTTCTATTCTTTATTAAATTACAAAAATTCCTTATATTTGGTGAAATTCAGATACATCTCCAAACGTCCCCATACATTGTCCCCAATTTTGGATACATCGTTCAACGTCTCGATACATTGTGTCTCTGTTTCAGATATATCACTCAATGTTCCTATACATTGCATACATTCCGATACATCATGATGTATAAATCCGACCGATACATCGCGTAAAGTGATGTATTATGTATTACGTCCCGATACATCGTGTATAGTGATGTATCCGATCAGTGCATTGCGTAAAGTGATGTATCCGAGAATAGGAAAGAGTAAGTTTTTGTAATTTTGTAAACTGGTAGAGAAAATTGTAAACTAAGTTGTCTATTTAGGTAATTTTTCCTAATTTATAAGTCATAACAAGTACCTTCAATATTTTAAATTAAAAAAAAGTGGCCGAAAATACCTCTAATATTGGGAAAAAGGAAAGATCGCCACACAAAATTTTATATTTTCATAATATAATATAAAACATAATAAATTTTGTCGTTTAATACCTTAGAACTTATGTCGTTAGATGCATAAGTTTAGTTTATAACTTTATTTTGCTGACCCTTATAATAAAAATAGATATTTTTTCACTTATTCATTTTACCAAATTAAGAGAATATTATTATTTTCATCTGATATTATTCTTATAATTAACTATTAGTAGGATGGGTAGGGGTAGAGTAACCTGGCCTTATGAGATTCCCGTGGAATTTTGGAAGAGCACAGACAAGGTCGATATGTAGTGATTGACTGAGTTGTTTAATGCTACTTTAAGAGAACAAAAATGTTCAACGAATAGAGGTGGAGTACAATGGTTCGATTATATTGTACAAGAAAAAGGGTTATTCAAAATTGTAACAATTACAAGGATCAAACTGCTAAGCTAATGAATGTATGAATGAATGAATGAATGGGAGAGAGTGGTGGAGATGAGGGTGAGGAGAGGGGTATCCATACCCAAGAATCAATTTGGATTCATGTGGGGGCGATCGACTACTGAAATCATCCATGATTTACGAAAACTTGTGAAAAAATATAGGGAAAGGAAGAAGGACCTACATACATATGGTGTTCATTGACCTTGAAAAGGCCTATGACAAAGTATTGAGGAATGTCCTCTAGAGGTGTTTGGAGGATAAAGGTGTCATGTTGATTTATATTAGGGCGATAAAGGATATGTTTGATGGAGCCAGACTCAGGTTAATTAGAACACTGGGAGGAGACTCGGAGCACTACCTAGTTGCCTTGGTGATGGATGAGTTGACGTAATCTATTCAGGAGGAGGTTTCATGGTGTGTGTTATTTGTGGATGATATAATACTGATTAATGATACATGAGACAGAGTTAATGTTAGATTAGAGGTTTTGAGAAAACTCTGGAGTCCAAAGGGTTCAGGTTGAGCAGGACCAAAACAGAATATTTGGAGTGAAAATCCAGTGCTTTGTTAGATGTAGCGAATGTGGAAGTAAGACTTGTCACACAGACAATTCCCAAGAGATAATGTTTTAAGTGTCTTGGGTCTGTAATCCAGGATAGTGGGACATCGACGATGATGTCACACATCACATTGGGGCGTCATGAATGAAATGGAGGCTTGCCTCTGGAGTCTTAGATAAGAAGATGTCAACTAAACTTTAAGTTTAAGTTCTATAAGGTGATGGTTAACCTTCTTTGTTGTGTGGGTGGATCGGATCGAAGTGTTGGTCAGTCAAGAACTCATATATTTAGAAGATGCATGTTGCAGAGATGAGGATGTTGAGATGGGTGTGTGGGCACACTAGGAACGACAAGATTAGGAATAAGGTTATCCAGAAAAAGGTGGGAGTGGCATTTGTGGCGGACAAGATGAGGGAAGCGAGAGACTGAGATGGTTTGGGCATGTGCAGAGGAGGTGTGATGACGCTCCATTGAGGAGGTAAGAGGTTAGTTGTAGGGGGTATGCAGAGGGTTAGAGGTAGGTCAAAAAAGTATTGGGAAGAGGTGATTAGATAGGATATGACACAACTTCATATTACCGAGGACATGACTCTAAATAGGAAGGAGTGAAGGTCGTGTATTAGGATAGAAAGTTAGTAGGGGTGGAGTGTTGTCTTTCCTTGTGAAGGTTTATGCTTGTTAGTGCATGTCGTAGCTAGTACTAGGTGTACCCTTGTAGTTCTTGTCATATGTTGTTATATTGTGTTTCGCTTATCACATTATTTTGATGTTGTTATTGTCTCCTTCTTGTAGACTTTACACTTCTTTTTTTTCTTATATATTAACGATTATGCTTTCTTCGTTGTTTTCTTCTTTCTTTACTTGAATTTGATGCACTTGAGCTGAGAGTCTTTCGGAAACAGTCTCACTACCTCCACGAGATAGTGGTAAGGTCTGTATACACTCTACCTTAATTCTCAGACCCCACTTAGTAAAATTTTACTGTAAATATTGTTATTGTACTACCTTATAATTAAATAATTATAGCAATTACAAATTAATTTCTAAAGCAAAACTAATAAGGCTAATTTAGTAATCTAATAAATCTCTAATAAATACGTTTTTAAAAGTTGTGTCCAGTCAACATAAATCAAATAAAATAAAATTTACAGCCTAATAATGAACTTACAACACTGAGTGAACAACGCTATATAAAAGAATAAATTACACTTTAAAAAGTTTATAAATTGTATATTACTCATTGTATACTAGCTCCTTTCCAGTTTTTTCAGATTCCATGTCTTGTAATCAATAACCCTTTGTTAAAATGGAGGAGAGTATAATACATACCCAATAAATAATGATAAGGATGTACTCCTCCGTCTCTTATGCATTATTTTTATAAATTTTGAGCCAAATAACTTATTTTTTTACCCCAACTTTATGTCTTACAATATTTTTTGATTAAAAATCATTATAATATATAATACTTTACTTAATTTAATTATATAAATTTAATTTCAAAAATTACCATCAATATTTACTCATATAAATTGAAATTAAAAAAAAGTACACAATTATCCTTATTCCCCTCGATCTTCCCCTCCCATCGACAATCACAGAGTCAGGTTCAAAATATAAAGAAGTAAAC